ATAGTTAATGTAACTAGGGTCTAATTGGGCTTATCACTAATGATTACTCTCAAAAGTAAATAGTTTGGGAGTAAGATGTTATTGATTGTACATGTTATGCCATATTGTATATATTTTGGGAATATCATGAAATGTTTGGGTTTAGATTGCATCATGGCATATTCATATGGACATTACCTGGACCTGACTATTGTGAATGCTTTGAAGTGCTATGTGACGCCGCAGACGCCCATGTAAGCCTCAGGTGAGTACATGTTGATGTTAGTGATGTTAGTGAGTATGATTGTGTTGATGACACACCCCGATCAAGATCAGGGCATGCTGGCCGTCATGTGGAAGTGACATAGCCATGTGCACAGTGCGGAAGCAAATAAAATAATAATGATACGAATAAATAAAACCCAGCTTAACACAAGGTGATAACATACATGTGCAAGAAAAGTGTGAAGACAACATTCAGAGCATGAAAACCTAATGCAGTCTGGGAGAAAACGACACAACAAAGGTACACTCGAAGGTGGTCCAACATTAGTGACAGCCTGTCAGATATGTCGGGGAAGTCCTCGGGGAAGCCACCAAACGTGCTAGCTAACTAGAACCTGGAGAGGCGCAAAACAAAAGCGTGAGTGGGCAAAAACAAAGCTTTTGTAAAAACCATTTCAAAACAAGATTCTAACCCCTCGCTGTAAAACCTGTATACTACCCAGAAACATAATATACATATATATATATATAATCATGCTCGGAAAAATGTGCCATGCCAAAAGCCTCAAAGTAGAATGCAAGTGCTCAGGAAATTCCAAATCCAAAACCCTGAAATCTATCAGCCAGAGTCACCTAACGTGACTTGTACGGCTGAATCTAGAGCTCAAATCTCAATCTCACTAACTATACCTGCACACGAGTCGGAACCACCTAACGTGGTCTGTACGACAGGCCTGGGTGTAATATAGGTACGCTCAAGTGCTACGATCACGTAAAGGCTGGGCGACGAATCGTGGGTCACCTACGAGTTGGAACCACCTAAAGTGGTCTGTACGACAGGACTGTGCACCTAACTTGGATCCAAGACGAGCGTATGGTGCGGGAGGTGAACATCACGTGAAGGACTGTGCCCTACTCTGGGCGGGAGCACTGACACCGGGGGTGCAGGTTATGAGCTCTCTATGAATCTAGAATCACTACTGAACGTAACTACAAACCATACTCACCTGGCACTTACCTGTGCGTTCGCAGCGTTAAACATAAATATATATATATATATGTGTGTGCAAGTAATAATGCGAGAATGATGGCAAACAATAACCATGGCATAATAACGAATAAACGTCTCAAATCAATTTCTGGGAAAAAAAAGTATATAGGTATATACAGAAAATCAAAAGCCCACTCACTGGTATGTAGAAGGGTCGTAACCCCCTTGCCTCGAGTGACCACGCTCGTCCTCGGGATAGGTCTCACCTATATGCGAAACAACTACAAAAACGCTAATTTTAAAGCACATAACCAACCTTAAGAAATAACTTCTCATACAAAGCTCAAATGAGGTGTATGAATACACCAACGTGATCTACTCAACCTCAAGAACATCCCCATATTTTTAGAAAAATATTTCACCGTCGCACGTGCCTGGCACACTGACGGCGTTAGTTAACGCCGTCAGGAATATTCCGTTAACCCTAACAGATTCCGTTAACGCTGTTAGAAATATTCTGTCTGTTTTGACGGAATATTCCGTCGTCTTCTCCGGCGAGGCTCCGGTGCCGGCGACGGTGCTGGAAAATCGGGAAAACTTCAAATCGTCCTATCTTCTTCATTTTTCAACCAAATTTCACAAAATTGGTACCAAAATGAAGCTTACAACGATAGGAACAAGTTCATACCACTTTCAAGTGCTAAAATCCACGAAATCTCACCGGGAAAACTCCACCAATTTCGGCCAACCTCGAAGCTCACTATCCCGACGTCCAAAACCTTCAAACGAACCACCCCGAGCCTCCTAAGGACCTCACCAAGCTTCCTACAAGCTTGAAATTCCCAAAAACATAAGAATTTACGTGTGCATGAACAGTGACAAAAATCGGGTATCCCAAGTTCGACGTGAAAACGAAGGTATCCTTACCTGAAATGGGTATGGTTGGACTCCTACGGACCTCACGAGCATGAATATGTACTTTGTTTCTTCGATCTGTGAAGATTTGATGGGTTTTGGGATGTGTCCGTACAAATGGAGGGAAAAATGGGAAGGGAAGTGGCACGGGACAGGTAGCAGGGTAGGGAAAGGGTGAAGAAAAGTATGGGGAAGTGTGTGTGGTCCACAACCAGCCACACCAAGCTCAAAACAACCATACAACGTAAAATCATACTAAGGGCAAAATCGTCTTTTCACGCGTACGTTTTAAAAATTCCAGAACGGGTTGTCACAGTTGAGATATAATATAGCTCATAAACCTGCACCCCGGTGTTAGTGCTCCCGCCCGTGGCCAGGGCACAGTCCTTCACGTGATGTTCACCTTCCGCACCTTACGCTCACCTTGGATCCAAGGTAGGTGCACAGTCCTGTCGTACATACCACTTTAGGTGGTTCCGACTCGTAGGTGACCCGCGATTATTCGCATAGTCTTCACGTGATCGTAGCACTTGAGCGTATTTATTTACACCCAGTCTTGTCATACAGACCACTTTAGGTGGTTCCGACTCGTGTGCAGGTATACTTATTGAGTTATTGTCTAGCCATGATTGATGAGATATGAATAAGTCATACAGGTCACTGTAGGTGACTCCGACTTATATGCTAGCCATGATTGATGAGATGTGGATAAGTCTTACAGGTCACTATAGGTGACTCCGACTTATATGCTAGCCATGATTGATGAGATATGGATAAGTTGTACATGTCATATTAGATGACTCCGATTGATATATCATTTTGTATTGATTAAGTTCATTTAGCCTACTTATTATTGCATGGTGGAGTTGATGGAAAACCGTGGTTCTGGCCATTTCTGAGTATGTTTTAGATATATGTATATATGTTGTATTGTCTTATGGAAAACAATTCGGGTTTTACATTTAGGGGCATTACTTTTAGAGAGGTAATAACTTTGGAAAGCTTGGTTTTATTGCTTACTTACACTCCCTGTTTGGTGCCCTCTAGGTTTTAGCTGCTGAGTTTGTATCGACAAGGATCTGTGGCGAATCTTAGTGTTGATGGATATTTCTGAGGGTATGATTCTTACTCACACTCCTGTACCTTACTTATGCTCTGACATCGTGCGTGAAATGGGTTCGCTCCCGCTCACAACGCACTTTGGTGTTAAAAATTTTTAGGTTCAAATTATTCACATTTTTCTATACTCTATCACATTTTATGGCTTCGTCACCTTCCAGGTGTTGGCCAGCACAACTCGATTCAGGGTCCAAGTGGACTTTCTGGGTCGGGGTGTGTCACATATCTCCTTTGAATTTGTGCCTAAATTTTGAAGTGAGAAAAGTAATTTGTGCTAAATTTTTATTTATGTTGTTGAAGTATTGATTAGACAATATCTAGTTTGTGTGATGACATTTTCAAAGTGGAATTATCTTTTTGTTTCTTTATCACATATTTTGTGACATCACGTCCTGAAATTTAATGTATATCATTCTCAGTAGCTATGAAATTTCTAAAATGCCCTTGAGATGCCATGTAAGCTTTTCACATGGACCTCAATTTTCCTTTCACTTTCCCACTCTTATATTACTATTTTTGAACAGTACTTATTTTTACGAATACGTGAGCGCTGACGGATTTCAATTCGGAGGTATAACGAACAAATTACGTTTGAAATTGTGTAAAAATACTTAAGACAAATTCAGAACCTGGATTTCCTTCTTGTGCAACACACACCAGTGCATGGGTGCTATTTAGAACACGAAATCACCATTCGTACATTTGTAAAAACTTGCATGAATTGACTGATGTGATTAAAGAGAAGCAAGTTGGTTTTAATTATTATTTTAATAAATTTGAGTGTGAGTGTCTTTGTGCAAGGTGAAGGCCTGCTCATGTTTCCTTTTGGAAATCCAAAAGCATGCAAGTGCCATTAAAACAATAGTTTTAAAAGATTTTAAAACCCCGTTCCCCTCATTCAATTCCATCAGACATCATAACTCCTCATCACTCTGTTCTTTTCCCCTCACTTAGCCGGTTCTCTCTCTCTCTCTCTCTCTCTCTCACTCTCCCTCACATCTCTCCGTTTCTCTCTCCACCCATTAAACTTTCTCTCCCTCTCACATTTCCCAGTTCTCTCTCCCATTGCTCTTTCCTCACTCTCATCCTCTCCGTAACACACCAAAACACCATCACACCACTCCTAAAAATTTCAGTCTCACCCCAAAAGCTTCCTAATAATCTCTATAACTCGTCCAAAACCTTGTGGCTATGGCTAGCTTGGGAAAAACATGAACTTTTTGTTACGTAACTCGACGAATCAAACCACTTCCATCTTGGTAAGCTTCGACCTTCTTTCTCAAGGTTTCTTCAAATTCTAACAAGGTTTCATGTATGCATGCATGTTTTGGTGAACACATAGACGATTTCCTAGTCCACCGTGTTTTCCGGCGAGTTGTAGGTTTTTCTAAGCTAAACCCAACGAAACCTTGTTAATGTGGTTGAGTTTGAAGGTACTAGAACACAACAGCTCATCTACCACGACAATTCTACCATGGACTTTAAGTGCGCGTGATAAAAAATGAATATTTATCACGGGCTTAATGAGTACGTTGTGGATAATAATATTTTACAACGAGCAAATAGTGACCCGTTATGATAAAATAATCTAATACCAAGTAAAAATATTAAACCACCACGGGCCTTCAAGGTGGTATATAGTTCGTAACCACTCTGGATTCTTTTTATCTACTACGATCATTAAGTGCGGTAGAATTGCACACATTATTAAAAAACAATTCAGAAAGCAGGATTACAAATTTCCCAAAATTTGAAATCTATGAAACTTAATAATATTCCCGCCCTTCTCAAAATTTAAGTGAAATCCTTCTCAATTCCTATTTCTTGTGGCTTCCTCTTTATTCTCTGGGCAGACTCCCACCTACCATTGGCGACTTGAAAACTCCCCATCGGTTCTTCGCCATCTACAGGTTTTGCTATTCACCCTTTCCCTCTCATTTACCCCTTGTTCTTTTTTCCCTTTCGTAATTGTTCTGGGAAGATTCCTTTTCTCTCTCTCTTTCTAACTTCTGATTTTAATTTTTTTTTTTCCTGAGAAAACTGCAATAATGGTGAGCTTCTCAGCCCTCTGAGTTTGTACTTAACAATCTTCGTCAATCTGCTAGTATCGCTCTAAATGTCCCTGCTAGTGCCCCAACTGTTGTCGTCATGAGCCTCTACTTCATTGGCTTCATCACGGCTCTTCATGTGTTCGACAAGCTGTACCACCACCGATCTAGTGGCAGAACTTGAGGTCTGGGTCCTGGTTCGGATTAGGAGCTTAATTGGTAATTCAATGATATGCTTTGTTTTCACTATGCTATGTAAATTATCTCAGGGTTGATATTATTGGGGTTTCAATTTTTGGATCTTGGATTGTGTTTGGATCAAAATCGTGTAATAAATATTTAACCTTTCGTTATTTTGCTTTCTGAATTTTGATATGCTATTGAATGATCCAAAAGTGCTGAATTTGTTAAAATTTTAGGGATTAAAAAGAAAGCGGAATTGTGTAAACTTGGGAGATTCATAGTTATATAAACTAAGTAGACGTTTGCTAATAAGAATTAGAATTGAAAAAAGGGCATCCAAAGCAAAATGGATTAGAGCTTTTAGAAAATAAATAGGATTGGCTTTGCAATACATTAGCTACTGATGTATGTTCAGAAAAACTTGCCCTTGATCCATTTTGGGGGTGAAATCTTGATAAATGTAAAGATAAGAATTGATGAATGATCAACAAAATGTGAAGAGCTTGATTGTAGCCAACAATAACTAAGCTTCTTTCCTGCCCATGATTGGGACTTTGATTAGAAGGTATTATTTAGAGGGTTTCATAAGGTTGTTACAGAATGAATGCCTATTTCTGTTAGTATCTTTATTAGAAGGAATGTAGAAGTTTGGACTGGGGCTGAGTTTATCCACAGGGTTCAGCATTTGATACCTGTTAATCCACTGCCTGTCTCACTAGTTTAGCATATCCTTTGGGATAATCGGTACTTGGACATTTTTTTTTTTTCACTTTGATGATGGATTGCTTGCCTCTTGGGGATTGACTTTATGGATGAAATTTTTTTTGTATATCATGTCCTTGAGTTGAGACATGAGGTTGCTTTCTAAGATATATATTTTTTCTTGTTTTATCTCAAAGGTGGTTGGTGGTTCTAATTCATGAGGGTCCATAACTCCGATGTCAGCTATTACATCAACAGGAAATTACAAATTTGAAGTGTGGACATGGGTGGGCAATTGCAAATTTGAAAAGAATTTGATTGGAGGTGTTCAAGGAAAACTAAAGTCTTCTAAGTGACAATTTCCTTGTAAATGGAGGCGTATTTCATAATTGATAGATAGTTTCATATTTCTTAGGACATCACATTGGTTTTATAGGTGATTTTGTTGAAGTTTAGTACAATGCTTGTAATTCTTTTTAAACGTGTAATGCTTGTAATTCTTTTTAAATTAAATAGTTTTTTTTTTGAGAATTTTTTTTTATAATGGCCATTAGCCGTGGTTAATTAATGGTTCACAATGGTTTTAGCGTGTGGTGTAAGATTCAAATTTACTATGAGCAAAGTCTGTGATTATTAATTGACAACGCGCTTTGGTTGTGGTAAAATTCTAAACTTTGTACCACATCCTTAATACAAACGGGCAATGTGTTCGTGCTGAATTTTGATCTACAACAGACATCCACTGTGGTAGATGACCTTTTTTCTTCTAGTAGGGTGACTTCCCACATCCTCTAGGCCGCAAGTTTGAGCTTGCATGCTCAAATCCAATTTGAAATCGACAAAAACGAAGAGCTCCAACTCGGGCCGTCACTTTCAAGTTATTTTCCAACTATGTCCGACCAACTTTTGGCCTTAAAATAGGTATAATCTTATTCCTCTCATCCTAAGCTTCATTTGATATATTATGAGCAAAATTTGGTTGTAAAATGGCTTTGAACGGAGCGTTTGAATTTTCTCCAGAAAATCCGATGAAAATCTGCAACAAACCAAACCATTTCAAAATCCATTTCAGAATCTGGAGGGAAAATTCTCAGTTATATTCCATTAAAGTTGACTATTAACCATTAGTTGACCAAAGTTGACTTTTCGAAAAATTGCTCTGGACCCTCCCTAGAGTATTTCAATGCACTGATTTTGTTTCCGCACTCCATTTTTCCAAATTCAATACCAATGGTCTCCAAATTCCATTTTTGAGAAAACTAAGGGGAAATTAGGTGTTTTGCATCAATTATTATTGGTTTAATGATTAGTATAGTAATTTTCCATATAGGAGAGGACCACCCAGAGGAGTACAGCGGATAGAATAGGTTGGGCGGCTGCGATCCTGCGACATATCAGTGAGTGGGTCTTTTGATTCTTAATATATATATATATATATATATGTGTGTGTGTGTGTGTGTGTGATTTTTCGCATAACTGTTTCTTTGCATAATTGATGTGACATGCCGTGTTTATCTTCCTATTAGATTTTCTACACTTTATATTTTTTATTAACTGCGAGTACAAAATGTGGCATAACATCTTTATTGTTACATCCCACATCGCCCAAGGGAGTGGATCCTATAAGCCTTATATGTATATTCCCATCTCTACCTAGCATGAGACCTTTTGAGAGCTCACTAGCTTCAGGATCCGTAGGAACTCCGAAGTTAAGCGAGTAGCGTGCGAAAGCATTCCCAGGATGGGTGACCCACTGGGAAGTTCTCGTGTGAGTTCCCAGAAACAAAACCGTGAGGGCGTGGTCAAGGCCTAAAGTGGACAATATCGTGCTACGGTAAAGTCGAGCTCGGGATGTGATGGGGGCCCAGGCGGGGATGTGACAATTTAGTATCAAAGCATAAGTTGGCCAGTATTGTGTTCATTACACACGTGATGTGAGCATTCCGGGTCGGGGTGTGTCAGTTTGGTATCAGAGCCAATCCCAGGCCGGATGTGTGCTGACGAGGACGTCGGGCCCCTAAGGGGGTGGATTGTTACATCCCACATCACCCAAAGGAGTGGATCCTGTAAGCCTTATATGTATATTCCTATCTCTACCTAGCACGAGGCCTTTAGGGAGCTCACTAGCTTCGGGTTCTGTAGGAACTTTGAAGTTAAACGAGTAACGCGCGAGAGCATTCCCAGGATGGGTGACCCACTAGGAAATTCTTGTGTGAGTTCCCAGAAACAAAATCGTGAAGGTGTGGTCGAGGCCCAAAACGGACAATATCGTGTTACGGTAGAGTCAAGCCCGGGATGTGATGGGGGCCCAGGCTAGGATGTGACATTTATTCATTATATATGCTTATTGCTACATGTGTGAACGGTATTTATTAGTTAGTTATGCTGTCATGGGCCAAGAATTAGTTTCACATGTATGTTCACATGCACCGTTTGCATTCGCTTTGGATCCAAAGTTAGGTGCCAGCTTGTCCCTAGGTTTGTTGTTTGGACTCGTATGTGATGTGGGTAGCGCCAACTTCACGTGATGTAGTACTAGAACATAAACCTACACCTAGTCTATTCATGCAGTTACTTTCTGTATGACTTATGTGCATACATAGATAATGAAGCGCGATTTTCATAACCGTGATTTTTAATAATTTTCATAACTGTGATTTGATGACAGCGATTTGAGTTGTTGATGTGATATTTTGTAGTAGCACTCAATATCCTTTAACTCATTTGTGCTGCAGGGTTCCCTACTACCTATTACTATTGATAGGAGCATATTTATGCTACTTAGTTATGTTATTTCCTTACATTTAGTGAGCTAATTACTACTTATTATAGTGTTTTGAGCTATTTTCGTTTGTTTGTAGGTCCTAATGACAAACTTGGCAAGAAAAGGCAATTTTGAGCCTTATAGAGCAGTTTTGGGCTTATTATGGATAGCTTGTATATGGAGCAAGGTGGATGGACGAATTTGGAGTCAAAAGATGTTAGAAACATGCTACAAATCAGAAAAGGAAAGTTCATGACAAAGAAGATAAGGAAAGTGCAAGAAAAGAGGAAACATTATCCAAAACCTTATCCAACCTTATCTTATCCTAACCTAATCTTGTTCCACCTTAATCCTAGCTGCAAGTGGACCTAAAAACCTAATTTCTAGAAGCCCTATCTGACCCTAAAAGGGTGCCACACCTTTCCCCCCTTTTATGCCTTCTAGAACACCCAAAATCAGCCATAAAACACTTAGTTTCTAGAAGGCCCAATTTTGGACGAAAATTCTTAAACCTTTTTCTAATTGGATTCTGATTTTATTTGGCCCTTTTTCTCTTGGATTTGGATTGTATAAGTCCATATCTGAGATTTATTGGCCTAGGACTTAATTCCCAAACCATTGCCGTAACTTAGGGGCCCAAAAACACTTGTATCAGCTAGGTTTAACCCTAAATCTGATTGCTAGGGTTTCGGTCATGCTATATATATCTGCCTATTCTTGTGCCGCACCCCCTAGACACCCTAAGCAACCATTCATCATTGAATTCGTCCATTCATTCACACCACACACCATCCATTCAGAAATAGACCTTTGTGCCGCAAATCCTAGGGAGAAGAAGGAGTGGCGTGGCTTCCATAGGAGAAGGAGACCCTTGTGCCGCAAGAATCTGCATCCATTGGAGACTTTGGGAGTTCTTTCTTCCCTCGTTTCGTTTCCATGTTTATTTTAATTTGTTTTTCAATTGTTATGAACATGTGTAACTAAGTTTTTCTTAGTTAGAGGTGAATTCAAAGCCATGGGCATATGTTTTATATGAATTGATTTCCTCCAGGTTTTGTTTCTTGAATTGTGGATGTGATTTACTTGATTGATTTATTGAGAACTTGTTCTTGTGTGTTGATTAAGGATGCATACTTAGTTTTCATGCATGAATTTGATGATAGGATATAAGGGAATTTCACCTAATCGTTATGAACTTATATTCACAAGTAGTGAAAATCACTAGTCATGATTGTATTAAGTAAATTCTAGGCAAGAGTATCATACAATTCATAGTTACGAATGCCTAGTCAATGCTTAGGGTTTTCAAAAAGCTTAATGATCTTTGATTTTATCTCTATTATGCAGTTCATGTAGGGAATTTGATAAGAATAATTTGATTGTCGATGCGTATTCCATCCAATTCAATGAAATAGGAAAATCTGAAAGTTAATTTGTGCTTTTCACAATTAATTTGGGGCATTGTCATTCATGGTTTAAAGGGATAAAATCTGGAAATCAATTTATGTTACATATGTGCATGTGTGCAGAAGGACCCTCTAACTAGTCTTTTTCCCATTCAATTCACCTAATTTAGTGCCTAATCTGTTTAGTTTACAATCTGTCCATTTTAATTAATTTCGTCCAAATCAATTCCCCATTTTATTAAGTGTGTTAGATTAGTTAGAAAAGTGTTTGAATCCATCCAAATTAGTGTTTTGAGTCTAAGTTAGTTAAATTTCGTCCAAATCACCCCTTAGAGTCTAATTTGAGTCTATTTCAGTGTTTTGGGCTGTTTTGAGTCTTTTTAAGTTGTTTTGAGTCATATAGGTCTAGGTAAGTGTTTTAAAGTTTAATTTTGTGTTTTTAAGTCAGTTTGGAGTAGATTAGCATCCCTAGTTAATCCCCGGTTAGAACGATCCCTACTTGCATATATACTACAATTGTCACAAATAGGGTTTAATTTGTGTGTCAACATAATTTTCACACCAACTATATTATTACTTTGGGAAATCATATACTTGTTTTATAGTGAGGGGTTACACATTTTCAAAAAGGTTTCAGAAAACTTTATTTTAAAGGCCCATTAACCCCTGTTTTTCACCCCTCTAGGACATAAAGATTGGGCTCATACGAGTACGAGGTTTTAGTGGAAGTAGCTGACTGTTCTTCGATCAAAGTAGGTTGCTTATGTATTAAATAATCATCCCTTATGGATGAGACAACTTTTATCTTTATGCATTATGCTCTGAACTTCACATTTGTAATAAGGGTTACCACCCAATCACGTTGTGCACTGTGGTTTATTTATTTAAAGTTTAAATTTATTCTCACTTTTATATGTTAACCATACTTTATGGCTTTGTCACCCTCAAGGTGTCGGCCAGCACATTACGATTCGGATGGACACGTGGAGATTCTGGCTTGAGATGTGTTAGTTTGGTATCAGAGCCTAGTTGTAGTCAGTCCCGTACTCATCACAGACTTGATGTTGACCACCGATCTTTCTTGAAATCTCCGATGCCAGAATATGTCTCCTCATCAAGCTCGTACAAATATTGCCTTCCCAGACTTCACAGATATTGGAGCGATTATCGCCGACACCTTACAAAATGTTTTTCGTCCCTCAAACCAGAGCCCCATTGAGATAGCCGATGGCCTCAAGGTGAAAGAATTATTTTGCTCTAAGGCACTTGAGAAGGCAGAAACATGGTTTAAGCACGTAGAGAAGACTTTCTTAGCCATGCAACGCCAAGGTAACTTTTCGAAT